TTGCTGATTTGGATGCCTTTTATTTCTTTTGTTTCCTGATTAGTGAGGCTAAGACTTCCAGTACTGTGTTTAATGTCAGTGGTGACAGCAGACATCTCTGTCTTGTTCCTGACCATAGAGGAAAAAAAGCTCTCAGTTTTTCCTTCATTGAGGAAGACATTAGCTGTGCGGTTTTCATATATGGCCTTTCAAATGTTGAGGTATGCTCCTTCTACCCCTACTTTGTTGAGTTTTTGTCAAGAACAGATGTTGTACTTTGTAAAATGCTTTTCCTGCAACTATTGACAGGATTATGCGGTTCTTATCCTTTCCTTTATTAATGTGGTATAACATGTTGACTGATTTGTGAATACTGAGCCACCCTTACAGCCCAGGAAGAAATCCCACTTGATTGTGGTGAATGATTCTTTTAATGGACTGTTGTATTTGATTTTCTACTATCTTGTTGAGAATTTTTGCATCCATATTCATCAGAGATATTGGCATGTAATTCTCCTTTTTAGTAGGGCCTTTTTCTGGTTTGGAAATCAAGGCAATGCTGGCCTTATGGAATGAGTTTGGAAATTTTTTTTCCACTTATATTTTTGGAAGAGTTTGGGAAGAATAGATACTAACTCTTCTTTAAATAGCTGGTAGAATTCCCCTGGGAAGCCATCTGGTTCTGGACTTGTGTTTGCTGGGAGATTTTTGATTACTGATTCAATTTTTGCTAGTTATGGATCTGTTCAAATTTTCTATTTCTTCCCGTTCCAGTTTTGGTAGTTTATGTTTCTAGGAATCTATCCATTTCTTCCATATTGTCCAATTTGTTGGCATATAATTTTTCATAACATTCTCTTATCATTGTATTTATGGGGTGTTTGTTGTTATTTCACCTCTCTCATTTGTGATTTTAATTATTTGAGTCCTTTCTCTTTAAGTCTGGCAAGGGGCTTATCAATTTTATTAATTCTTTCAAAGAACTAGTTCTTATTTTCATTGATCTGTTACCATTTTTGTTTGTTTCTATAACACTCATTTCTGCTCTAATCTTTATTTCCCTTCTTCTGATGGCTTTAGGCTTAATTTGCTTTTGTAGCTCCTCTAAGTTTAAGGTTGGGTTTTTGTATTTGAGACTTTCCTTGCTTCTTGAAGTAGGCCTGTCTTGCTACATACTTCCCTCTATGATTGCTTTTACTGCATTCCAAATGTTTTGGGCTGTTGTGTTTCCATTTATTTTTTTAATTTATTCGTTATTTTCCTGGTTAATCCATTCATTCTTTAGTAGAATGTATTTTAACCTGTATGTGTTTGTGGTCTTTCCACATTTTTTTTCTTGTGGTTCACTTCACCATTCATAGCCTTATGGTCTGTATATATGCATGGTATGATCTTGATCTTTTTGTAATTGTTAAGGACTGATTTGTAACTCAATATGTGATCTATTCTGGAGACTGTCCCCTGTGCACTTGAAAAGAATGTGTATTCTGCTGCTTTAGGATGAAATGTTCTGAATATATCTGTTAAGTTCATCTTGTCCAGTGTGTCACTCAAAGTCATTGTTTCCTTGTTGATTTTCTCTTTAGATAATTGGTTCATTGCTGTAAGTAGGATGTTAAAGTCCCCTGTTATTATTATCAATGAGTTTATTTTTATTTTATCTTGCAGGGAGAGAGAGAGACTCTTAAGCAGGTTCCACACTCAGCATGGAGCCCAATGCAGGGCTCAATCCCACAACCCTGGGATCATGACCTGAGCCGAAATCAAAAGTCAGGCACTTAACCAACTGAGCCACCAAAGTGCTCTGCTTTAGTTTGTTATTAACTGATTTAAATATTCCTGTGTCTCTAAACTGGGGGCATAAATATGTACAATTGGTAGATGTTTTTGGATAGATCCCTTAATTGTGCTATAATGCCCATCTTCATCTCTTGTTACAGTCTTTGGTTTAACATCTAGTTTGTCTATGGGGTGCCTGGGTGTCTCAGTCGGTTAAGCGTCCAACTTCGGCTCAGGTCATGATCTTACAGTTCGTGGGTTCGAGCCCCATGTTGGGCTTTGTGCTGACAGCTAGCCCAGAGCCTGGAGCCTGTTTCAGATTCTGTATCTCCCTCTCTCTCTGACCCTCCCCTGTTCATGCTGTCTCTCTCTGAGAAATAAATAAAACATTAAAAACAAATTTAAAATCTAGTTTGTCTGATATAAGTATGACTACTCCAGCTTTCTCTTGACATCTATTAGCATGATTGCTTGTTCTCCATCCTGTCACTTTCAATGTTGCAATGTCTTTAGGCCTAAAATGAATCTCTTGGGGCACCTGGGTGGCTTAGTCGGTTAAGCATCCGACTTTTGCTTAGGTCATGATCTCGCAGTTCGTGGGTTCGAGCCCCACGTCGGGCTCTGTGCTGACTGCCAGCTCAGAGCCTGGAGCCTGTGACTCCCTCTCTCTCTGACCCTCCCCTGCTCATGCTGTCTCTCTCTCTCTCTTTCCTAGAAATAAATAAAAATATTTAAAAATAAAATAAAATGAATCTCTTGTAGGCAGCATATAGGTGGATGTTGTATTTTATCCATTCTGACACTATATGTATCTTGATGGGAGCATTTACTCCGTTTATGTTCAGAGTGATTATTGATAGGTATGAATTTAGTGCCATTGCATTACCTGTAAAGTTGTTTCTGGAGATTTTCTCTATTCCTTTCCAGTCTTTGTTGTGTTTCATCTTTCCCAAAGAGCCCTCTTTAATATTTCTTGCCAGGCTGGTTTAGTGGTCACAAACTCCTTTAATTTTTGTTCATCTGGATAAAGGATTATTGGCTGCATATTTTTCCCATTCAGCATGTTGAATATATCATGCCACTCCCTTCTGGCTTGCCAGGTTTCTGTGGAGACCTCTGATACTGACGTGATTTGTCTTCCCTTGTAAGTTAGGGATTTCTTTTCCCTTGTTGCTTTCAGGATTCTTTCCTTTTCTCTATATTTTGCAATTTTTACTACACTACGTCTTGGTGTTGGCCAGCTTTTGTTGATTTTGGTGAGAGTTCTCTGTGCCTTCTGTGTTTGGAGGTCTCTTTCTTTCCCAGATTAGGAAAATTTTCAACTATAATTTGCTCAAATAAACCTTCTACCCCCTTTTTCCCCTCTCTTGTTCTCAGACTCTTAAGTTTGCGTTTCAAAACTCCACATTTTAGGGACCTGGCATGGTGCAGACCCATACTATGGCTGGTACGACCATACAAGGCCTTAGATTTCATCATAATGCATTAAAAAAAGGTCAGCATCCAGGTTAGCTACCCTTCGCAGGCATCTCTGCTTGTGTGCAAATGAACAGGGCAGCTCAATGGCATCTCTCAGCTATTTTGTCCCCCGAGAGGCATTGCTGCCTCTCCCAAATGCACTCCACGAAGGGGAACTGTCTCCCTCAGTGCAACTCAGAGTATCCTCAGAGCCTACTGTCCCCTTCTGGGCCTCTCCTTCTCCACAGGAGCACTTCTAAGCCCACCAGGTCAACCCTGGTGATGGCACAGACTTCTAAAACTTCAGACTTTCAGCTCTGCTGCTTATAAAAACTGGCAATAATCACCCCATCTCATTTTCCCAGTCAACAGCTTTGGAGAAGTGTTTTTCTTGTGAATTTCCCTGCATACTGCTTTATCTCTCTCTGATCAGGGCTCTATCTCATCCACCGCACTCAGAGATTTGAGGGAGAAAAAAGTCATATCACCACACCACCTACCTTCCATGATGTGGCCTCTTTTCTCTCTCTCTAGTTGTGCAGTTTGTTCTCTTAGTCCTCAGATCGATTTCCTGATGTTCAGAATGATTTGATAATTATCTAGCCTTGTTTGAGGGACGAGGCAAGCATAAGGTCATCCTTCTACTCCACCATCTTAGTCTGTTTTAAATTCTACTGTTGCTCTTGAGCATCCAATACCATTCAGATTCCCCATCCTTCAGTGTTCCTTTTTTTTTTTAACCTGTAACTGCAATAGGTATTGTTGCCTACCTAACATCCACTCACCCAAAATTTGTTCAGGTATTTATCTCATCCTCAGTTTCATAAGAATTTAAGACAACCAGCTAATGGCATTCCCCTATCTGCCAATATTGTCCCAGAAATGGTTATGTGACATTAATTACTGCATCAAAATGAAGCAGAGGACTTCTAAAACATTATTGGAAAGGGCCCTAACTCTCCTTCTGAATGTGAACCATAAAATTTGTAGCTTTCAGAGGTGCCTGGGTAACTCAGTCAGTTGAGCATCTGACTTCAGCTCAGATCATGATCTTACAGTTCATGAGTGCAAGCCCTTTGTCGAGCTCCATGCTGACAGCTCTGAGCCTGCTTTGGATTCCATGTCTCCCTCTCTCAAAAATAAATATCTTTAAAACTTTTTTAAAAAAAAACTGTAGCCTTCATTGCTACTGTTAACTATCTTGTGTACATTAAGGAAATCAGATTTAGGGGAGAGCGGGGCAGACAGAACTGAGTTCCTTGACCTCAACCGAGATTCTGATCATACTCTTACTGGAAGCTACCCTACTCCTATATTTTATTAAAAGAATTAATTTGATTAAGCAAGTTTGAATGAGAATTCCCTTTCTTTTCATAAGCCCAAAGCATTCTGACTGCTTGCTACAAGGAAGCTTTTCTCTTTATCATTAGTATCCTGAAATTTCTTGATGATGTCTCATAATTTCATTTTCCTTCCTTTTGCTAGACATTTGGTGGCCCTTTCAACCTAAAAACTCATTCTTTGATAGTAGGATACATTGTTGTACCACAATAGCCTTCCTTTTTTTCTGCTTTCTCATTCTGGACTGTGAACATAAACAGAGAGACAGGGCCAGAAAAACCTTCTATAATAATTCTTAAGTGACCTGTAGAAGATTTATGGGTCAGCTGCAGATGGAGTTTTATCCCCCTTGAAATGTATGCAAAATACTGTATTTGTGTACATATTCTCCATTATTCTTGATAGAGAATCTAAGCTACTTTTTATTCTTTTATCATTCTCAGATGATCCAGTCCTTGGGTGTGACAGGACCATTAACTTGCAAGAGAGCACAATTACAGACTAATGACTGGTTGAGAGGGAGGGAGCAAGAAATGTAAGTAGTTCATGGTAGTAGCTCCTGACACTCTGTATGACATGAATGGCTGTTGGATTTGCTTCATCTAATAAAAGAAAACGAGGTTAAAAGGTTAACCAGCATATCTGATTTGTTAGTCCAGTGAATGGACAACTTTGTGGCTATCCGTTGAATATAATTCACAAAATGAATAAGACTTGATATCTTACTTTAGAAAAAAATGAAAGAATCCTCAATAACAAAATTAAATTTGCTTTGTGTGCCAAAGTCTCATCTATGGTTTTATTATACTGTGTGATGTGTCTTATGATCAATAATATTCTATGTATGACTGTATTTACTTGAGTTTTTAATGAAAAAAAGAAAATGAAACTGTTTTAATGGAAACTCTTTGCAATTAGTTTCCAAAATAGCTTCTTAAATTGCTCAGTTTCAGGAATATTTTTGGCAAAATGATGTATTATAGTAAGTACAATAATAGTTCTAAAAACAATCCTTACAATCTTTCACTTTAACATTTAAAATTGCTATTAAGTTAATGTTGGCGTCATTTCAAACAAGCCATCTTTAAATAGTTCGCTTTATATATTTTTTCTTATAAATTTGTTTCATCAGAATGCCATGCTTTTAGGCCTGCAGCTGGTTTCATATTAGAACTGTGCTAATAAGAGCTCCCTAAGTTATTCCCAGCACCAAAGAATTATAATTTTCATTGGAAGAAGTAACATATTCCATCAATTATCCTCTTTCCTGTGTCTTCAGTCTCTTTCTGGCATCCTTTTCTCAGCTTAGAAACACAGTTAGAGCTCAATTGGTTGAAGAAAATCCTTCTAATATCTACCTCCTTCTCTATTCACTGCATAGTCCCTTTGTTGATGTATAGGAAAATGGTATGAAAAGTATTCCCCTGAATGCTGGTTGTAAATAAGTGAGGAGAGGAAGGTGATGGAAGGTGCAGAATCGTAACCTGGGCTGAAGCTTTGAGACCTAAGAACAGGAGCAGGTGAAAGGGTGGAATAAGTCTATATTAAGTGGTATTTGTTAATAGAATGAGGTTTTAGTTACATAGACCTGTCTCCAAATTTCAACTTTGTCAAATTCCTACTAAGACACTGGAGAAGTAATTTAACCTATATGGGCCTCCATTTCCTTATGTGAAAATGAGGGACTAGTAGTACCCACCACATGATGTTAGAACCACACTTTAGTTTGATAATATAAAAGCTTAATAAATGTTAGTTGCCATTACTGCTATTATCAAAAGCTGATACTACTAATGCATAGCTAAGTAAAACTTGAAGGACAACATTCCAGGGAAAAACAGATGCTAAGGGTCAGTTAATTGGAACCAATAAGGAAAAGCAGCCCATAGGAAGAATATGGCAGCAACTAGAAACTACAAGATAGAGCAAACTGCATTTGGTTGTCAAAGAGATGGAGGAAGCTGAAGATGTGCTGAACATAGAGGATGAAGAAATCTATTTAAAACAGCTGTGTAAAGTATCATTTATATTCTCCTCCAACAATGAGAGCAGTTCAGGGATTAACTAACATTTGCTGGTAAAATTTTCTGTTTGGGAGTGAATATGAAATGATGGATTCCCATGACCCTTTCTTTAATCTATACACTTAATAATGCACTAGGTAATAAAATGGCCATGGTGTTTTCCTGGGTTAAGTATCATTTATATGATGTTTCTAATTACCAGGAAAGTCAGAGTGCAGGATGCAGCATTTGGTGTCAAGAAGTAGCATTGATTGGCCATGAAGAATATTGACATGAAAGGAGGAATGGAGGAGAACAAAAATCTGTTACTTTTTGTACACTAAGTACACTACACATTCTGGAAGGTATAGAAATTTAGTTAATCTTCACTATAATCTATTGTACATTTGTTTGTGATGGATGCAGGGTTTATAGGGCTTTAAAAGCACTACAAAAACCAGGTGAATCATATATTGTTTGACAGATTCAATACTATAGAGATTATGAATTAGCTTGATTATGGTTATTTCACAATGTATACGTATAACAGTTTTTAATTTGTACACTTTGAACCTATACCATTAAAAGAAATTTATGCACCAGAGCACAGTTGAAAACAGTAATGCAATCCTGGCCTGCAATTAGTGGAGTTTAGCCACCAAATTTATTTAAGGAAAGAATAAATGAGGACTCCATCTGTACCACTGTCATCACATAATGCTATACCACCTAAAGAAGCAACAGCAGAAGCTTAATACTGGGTGTGTTTGGGGGGAAGGAACAGATCTTTCTAAATTAACCCAACCCATCACTAAACACATAATAATAAGCCTCAAAGTGAGGAACCAGTATTTAGAATTGCAACATTATCTAAAATGTCCAGTTCCTAGCAAAAGTTATAAGGCATGCAAGGAAATAGTAAAGTATGAGCCAGACACTGAAATAAAAGGCAGCAACAAAAACTGTCTGTGGGAGTAACAAGAGGCCAGAGTAAACAAAATAAATCAATTCAGCCATTATAAATATGTTCTCAGAAGAAAAGATAAACATAAGAAGGGAAGTAGATGAGATGTCAAATAAAGAATATCAATACTTAGAAATTTTAAAAATATTACCAAAGGAAAATCTGGAGTTGAAAGTGATAATAGCTGAAATAAAAATTAGAGGGGCTCAGCAATAGATTTGAACGGGCAGAAAAAAGAATGAAGAAAAATGAACACACCTTTAGAGAAATGTGGGACATCATTAGACATGCCAACGTACATAAAATGGGAGTACCAGAAGGAGAGTGTAAAAAGGAAAAGAATTAATGGCTGGAGAGATCCCAAATTTAGTGAAAACCAATGATGTACATACCCAGGGAACTTAAACTGTAGGTAGTATAAACACAAAGAGACCTACAGATAGACACATCATAATAAAAATGCAGAACATCACGGGCAAGGAGAAAACCTTGAAAGCAGCCGGAGATAAATGATTTCTCTACAAATAAACCCTGATAAGATTAACACCTGAATTTTCAGCAGAAACAACTTACGTCAGCAGGCAGTAAGATAATGTATTTAAAGTGTTCATAGAAAAAATTCTGCCAACCAAAAAACCTGTATCCAACAAAAATATCAAAAATGAAATCAAATAAAAATATGTTGCTTTCAGACTTGTCTTACAAATAATTCTAAAGAAATTTCTTAGAAATTTAGTTTGAGGGGTGCCGGGATGGCTCAGGTCATATCTCACAGTTTGTGAGTTCAAGCCCTGCACTGGTCTCTGTGCTGACAGCTCAGAGCCTGCTTCAGATTCTGTGTCTCTCTCTGCCCCTCCCCTGTTCTCACACAAATACACACTCTCAAAAAATAAACATTTAAAAAATTAAAACAAAGGGAGAGGCAAGATGGCAGAGAAGTAGGGACCTCTGTGCAATTTGCACACATCTCTCAAATAGAGAAGGCCTGAAGTCATAGGACACTAAGCCATACGAGTTTGGGAAGACAACCTCATAAGTATGGCTACCTCAAGAAACAAGCCAAAGTACACAGGGTGGAGAGTCCTAAATACCACTATGAGTAGGGAAATAACATAACCAAAGTCTCAACAAGAGAAACCAAGAGATACCATTCAAAGAACACTTCTGAATGGACAGGCCCTGGACAGTCAAAGAGCCCTCTTTTTAATACAGCAGCACCCACAGGGGCAGAGTGCATAACAACCTTTTAAATTAACAAGAGATAGAAACCTAACCAAAATGATGAAACAGAAGAACTCTCCTCCAAAGAAATTCCAGAAAGAAATGACAGCTAAAGAACTGCTCAAAACAGATAGAAGCAACATAACTGAACAAGAATTTAGAACACTAGTCATAAAATTAATCGCTGGGCTTGAAAAAAGCATGGAGAACATCAGAGAAGCTACTGCTACAAAGACTATGGAGCTTAAAAATAGTTGTGATGACTACATGGCAATGAGAAACAATGAAATCTGGCCATGTGTAGCAACATGGGTGGACCTTGAGGGTGTTATGCTGAGTGAAATAAGTCAGGCAGAGAAGGACAAATATCATATGTTTGCACGTATAGGAGGATTAGGAGGAACTTGACGGAGGAACAAGGGGGAGAAGAAGGGCGGAAATGGTGGGGGAAAGGGAGAGAGGCAAACCATGAGACTCTTGAATGCTAAGAAACAAACTGAGGACTGATGGATGTTGGCGGGAGGGGGGAGATGGGCATGGACAAGGGCACTTGTGGGAATGAGCACTGGGTGTTATATGGAAACCAATTTGACAATAAACTCTTTGTAAAAAGAAAAAAAAAGAAACATTCCTTTAAAAATGTGCATTAAAAACATTTGGCAAATTAAAATAGTTGTGATGAATTACAAAATGCTATAAGTGAGATACATAATAAAATGGAGGCATGCAATGCATGGATTGAAGAGGCAGAAAGGAGAATTAGTGATTTAGTAAACACAATTATAGAAAAAGAGGAAGCCGAGCAAAAGAGAGAGAAACCGATTCAGGAACACAAAAGGAGAGTTTGAGAGCTCACTGATACAATCAAACAGAGTATCTGTAAAAAAGGAATTCCAGAAGAGGGAGAGAGAGGGAAAGGTGCTGAAGGAGTCCTTGAATAAATTATAGCTGAGAACTTCCCCAATCTGGGGAAGGAAACAGACATTAAACTGCAAGAGTCACAGAGAACTTCCCCTCAGACTTAACTTGAATCCATCTTCTGCATGACATATCATAGTGAAACTTACAAAATGTAAGGACGAAGAGAGACTTTTGAAAGCAGCTAGGGATAAAAGGGCCCTAACATACAAAGGGAAACCTATCAGAGTGGTGACAGACCTATCTACTGAAACTTGGCAGGCCAGAAAGGAATGGCAGGAGATCTTCAATATGATGAACAGAAAAATATGCAGCCAGGAATCCTCTATCCAGCAAGCCTCTCATTCAGAATAGAAGGAGAGATAAAAGTCTTTCCTAATAAACAAAAAATGAAAGATTCATCACCACTAAACCAGCCCTCCAAGAAATCATGAGGGGGACTCTCTTGAGGGAAATGTTGCAAAGAATGCAACATACCAGAAACATCACCACAAGCA